CCTGTCAACCTCTGGAAGATCTGAGGCTCCTCTTCAAAAAGGAAGACTCCAGAGCTACTTCAGGTACAGATAAGTAGAGTCACTAATAAGGGCACCTGTATAGAGACTCTTTCTTCTAATTGGATTCATAATATGCATAATCATGCTAGGGCTATGGCTCTCAGGTTCTTGATAGTTTATCTAATATTCCTCTTTGCCATGCTTTCCTCTCCATAAGAAACATGAAAATAAAGCTCCTTAGAAAACTTTTCCCAAATAATAGCATGGAAAAATAATGTCTCTAAGTGCTGGATCTGTCATACTCCACCTTTTCAGACAGATCAGGAGATATCTGACCTGCTTCTTCTCAGATTTTGACTCTGAGCCCTCAATCTAATAGTAAAGTTTATCTATTTAAGGCTTTAGATGAGGATCCAGACTATAGCCCATGACTCTCCTGACAAATTCACTGAGCTTTTTTCCTTTGGACAAGCAGCTATTTGTGACATGTAGTCACTGTTTTCTCATTTTCTTCTTGCAAGTTTTTTTCAGCTCAGACAGAGAGCCCCAACATCCCAGGATAGTCAGAGCACATAATTCCCCGTAGGTAGGGCCTACAGTCCCTTTCAGCAAGAAGCAATTATTTGAAGGTAGAGACTTCCACTCCCTCAACATCCCACAAAGAATTTTGAGGATTATGTCTCCCAGAGGGAAATGAGGTGGGAGATTAGAGGTGAAGTAAACCAGTTAAATGACTATGAAAAGTCTATCAATCATTGAGACCCAGGGCACATCCACAGAATAGGGGACCCAAGATAATTCTGGTTCCTGAACACTGTATGTGGAACCAACCAGAAAAGTGCAATTCTCTATTCTACATTTATATCTGGCATGAAATCAAGTGCACCTCCACTAGGACAGCTGAAGTCTGAGAGCCAAGTGAATTTCTGATAGATCAACCATCCCAAACAATTCACTTACATGACGGAGAAGAAATCTAGGAATTGGAGAGACAAAAGAGCTCTACCACTATCCTCATGGCCACTGTGAGTCTGTTAACCAATCTTCTCTCACTCTGCAGAGCATATTCTTTTCTGCCTTCAATAAATGTAAATCCTCATTTACTTTTCCATGTGTCTTGTCCAATTCGTTGTTCAGGACACCAAGAACCTGAAAGGATCTTGTCAGGTAAAAGGGCAGAAGACCAAGACCAGACCAGACCACAACAAGCCTTTATTAGGGGAATAGACCTGCCGGGCTGTCTCTGAACAAAGAAGAGACAAAAGCAACATGACCGGGGCAGGGAGAGTCTTTTATAGATACTGGGGTGAGGTCTGTAGGGGCTGAGGTGGGGTTGAGTGAGGTAGTGACTAGGGAATGGAGGAGCCCATGATGTCACTAGATGGTAGGAGGTGAGCGAGTATTAGGTTACTCTCTAGGTGGGACCAGGGGCATGCTGGGAAGAAGGGTTTATTCTTCGGTGGGAGCAACCATCTTGGCGTGACGTCACACAGGGGAGGGGGCAAGGCACCATAGGAAGAGGGCAGCTATGATACATAATAGCTGCTGAGGTGGTGGGAGACCTCTCAGATCTCTTTAGGACCCAAAAGCCAGTATCAGCAGGAACTGGAGTATAGCTCAGTGAAAGAGCATTTGCCTAGTATGTATGAGGCATGCCTAGCATATATGAGGCATTGGGTTCAATCCCCAGTACAAAATTAAAGGGCTGGAGCTCAATAATCATTAAATAACAAATAAAAATGCTTTGATTTGAATGTCCTCACCCAAATTCATGTGGAAAGATAATCCTTATTGTAAGGAATTAAGTGACCGGACTGGGCAAGACCTTACAAAGCAATTAGGCAAATCCCTCTTATGGAGGGATTAATCCATTAACAGGTCAATAGGTCTCCCCCAATACTGATGTTTGAGCCTGGGGCCTCATGTATGCTAGGCAAACCTTCTACCACTGAGCTACATCCACAGTCATTTTTTATTTTGAGACAGGGTCTTGCTAAATTGCCCAGGTTACCCTTGCTAAATTGACAAGGTTACCCTTGAACTCACAATCTTCCTATTTTAGCCTCCTAACTGCAAGCCTTGTGGCTTCTGGGTCCACTACCATATCAGAAGATAGAAAAGGCTTCCCAAATAGCTACAATTATAAATGTACACCTCTCCCTTGGCTTTTAAAAGCCAGTTTTACTCTGCCTCTTGTAAACTTCCTTCTCACCACATGATGCCCAACATCTTCCTCAATACTTCCAAGAGTCACCATCAGCAAGAAGGCCCTCAACAGATGCAGCCCCCAGACCTTCCTCCTTTGCAACCATGAGCTCACTAAACCTTTATTCTTTGTAAATTACCTAGTCTATGAATCTCAGTTACACCAAGAATAGACTAAGACAAATGCATACTATAGAAAATGCATAAATAACTATATTCTAGACTCTGTTATCCTTAGGTACAAAAGAACTAGGATTTTTGCCACTTACACCTGAAAATTCAAATCTACATAATGACATTACTATAGGAAGCTAAGTTAGATAGAAATTAATGTACAGTCAGAAAGGGACTGGGTGCTCAAAGAAGTCAGCAGAAAAATTAAAACATAAGAATTGCAGCTGGAGGTGCATCTGTCAAAGGACAGGCCTCAAGATAAAGATGTAATGAGCAGACCTACATGCCTCCCTAAGGGATAGGATTATCATCTGGTCCAGTAAATTCCAGATAGACATCAGTCACCCAGGTGGGTGACCAGAACCTCTAGACCCATCCCTTTTCAAAAGTGCCTTGGTTTTTTCCATGTACCCTTGCTATTCGATTGGTTTCTCTATTGGATCAATATTAGCCAAGCAGCTGTACTTATAATTTTATTGAAAAGGAAAGTGTGTCATGGGTTAATCTGAAATTGGAATTAATAAATCCAAAGTTCTGTAGTCTGTAATGAATGATTATTGTAAACACATATTTTCTTGCTGGCTCTGCTAAGAACATAACTCCCTGTCTAACCTGATAATGCTGCCAAGGACATACCTTGATATCCACCTTCATGTCTCCCTATCTGCCCAGGGCTTGAACCCAACCTGGAATGTAACGTACTCCATATGATGCATTTCTGATACACCCTTAGTGTCATGCCATCAGGTGCCTCACAGAGGCTTGGTGCTGGTGATGAGGGCCAGCACAAAGATCTCTAACTCTTCCTCTTTGTCTGCCAGTGCCACTGTGACCTGCTGCTGCCAGGACAGAAAGATAATATGGCTAACAGACAGGTGGGACACCAGTCTAGGATAATGTCGGCCATGAGCAGTTTTATTTTTCAGCCCAAGCAAATTCCACCTTGGCTGACCCTGCCCTGAACTGATGCCCCCTCCAAGTGCATGTCTTCCTTATCTGCTCCTCCTTGGCAGACCCTACCCTGAACTGATGCATACTCCAAATAAGTGTCTCCCTTATCTAGCTGACCTTACCATAAATTAATGTTTTCTAATCTGAGTTTGATTATTATAGACCAATCAGTAATAATGATATCATATGTAAACAATCAACTGCTTGCTCTGCTTCTGTACTAGTTCCTGCTTGAAAATCCTATATAAACTGTAGGCAGACAAAACACAGCCACCTGGTTCTTCGAGGAATTATCCTGACCTGGCCCGTCAACATTGTTTTCTGCCTCTAAGTCCTGGGTGCCTTTTGGTATTTCCCGTTTGCCATTACATTATAGGTTGATTGTAGTTTAACCCACACGTACCTATGTTGTGATTTTGCAGTATAAATTACCCTGACAAGGGACCTCAGTGGGAACCCACTTCTGGGACCCCCTCCTATCCCTCAGGTGCTATTCCCATTCCCCAGTAAACCTTTCCTACTCTTAACTTCCTTTGTCATTTGGAATTCATTCTTCAATTTCACGGGACCCAAATGTCGTGTATTTGACATCTACAGGTTGGGAGTTACATTCGTCCCATATCAATATAGGTCAAACCTTTAATACAAGCACCACATCATTTACTATTTCCTGGATACAGTGGTAGGAGTCATGAAACAGGTCATAAAAAAAAGTGTAATCGTTATTTAGCTTAAAAGTAGTTAGTCAAGGCAGCCTAAAATAAAAGAAAACAGCATGCACTGAGTAAAGAACTAATTCAAACAGTTAATTATGTTTACAAATGTAAAAGAAAACACAAGAAAGAAAGATAAAACATTAGGATAAGAGTGGAGCAATAAGGACTTTTCCTCCCAGGAAGAAGCTCCTTAGGCAGAAGTATGCTAAATTAGTTCACAGCTCCTCCTTAACCTCTGGGAAAGAGAGACTTAGAAATGCAGCCTAACCAGTTTCCAGCTAAGTAACTGACTTTTTAAGAACTTTACAAAGCCTTCCACTTTGTTTATCTACATAAAGCCAGAACAAAGAAAGCAAGTCAGATTTCCATTCAAAATCCCCTCTTGAAGACTATCCACCAAGAGCTTTTTTCTTGTTATTATTTCTAATAAACACTCTCTTAACTTCCTCCTTTTATTAGCAATTATTCTTCAATTTCATATGGTAAAGAGCTCAGATATATACAAAATTAACTGCTTCAGCAGTAAAGGAGGAAAGAAAAAAAAAACTTCCAGGAACTATTTTTCCAAGTATAACCAGTGCTCTGGACTGCATGAGATTAGTAACCCCAAAGCAAAATTTGTGTAAGAGAGGAGCCCATGTCAATGTGCTGTTCAAACTGTGATTACATAAATGTGTAGATAGTTATCATGAAAATGTGATTCACTTATTATGAAGAAGTGGACAAAAGCTAGACAATCAGCTGATGTCGCTGTTAATATAGCATCATGTCTAATGAGAAAAAAGTCAAAGTGTAGTTTCATAGCAATGCTCAAATGAATTTACTTTATTTTTTAGGCAGGGTCTCACTACATTGCCCCCAGGCTTGGCTGGAACTCCCAGTCTGGCCACCTCAGGTTCCCTTATAAGGCGACATTATAGATTCAAACCACCACATCTAGCTCAAATCTCAGATTTAAGAGAAATATGTAGCCTAGTCAGTATGGTACACACTTATAATCCCAGGTACTTTACAGGCTGAGGCAGAAGGATTAAAAATTTGAGGCCAGACTGGTTACTTTATTGAGACCCTTCCTCAAAAATAAAATGAAGTAAATGGGCTGGATATGCAGCTCAGTGGTAAACCATTTACCTATCACGAACTAGGCCTTTTGCACCCTGAGAATCATATCCCAAGACCAAGAAGCCACACTGTTCAATTCCCCGTACTGCAAAAAAACCACAACAAAAACCCTGGGTTCTTTCTTTCAAGCACTAGCGATTGAACCCAGGGTTCTCATACTGAGTGACACACCCAGCCCTCTCATTATCATCATCATCATCATCATCATCATCATCATCATCATCATCATCATCATCATCATCATTTTGAAACAGCCTGATTAAATCACTGACTTGCCCAGGATGAACTCAAACTTGTGATCCTCCTATCTCAGCCTGCTAAAGTGCTGGGATTATCGGTACGGGCCACTGAAGCAAGAGATTTGGTGCGGCAAACCTGCTGGGCAAATGGGCATGACCTGTCAAAAAAAGAGATCCAGGAAGTGGTTACAAAAACAATTCCTAAAGCCCTGCACCTGGCACCAGGCAGAGACTGGTGTGTTCAAGTCTCATGAGAATTTCAGCAAGTTTTTGATGGGAAGGCCCAGGTCTGACATCGGCCTGAGGAGTGGGGGGTGTATAAACTGGCCACCATGGAGCTCTTGGCCACTGCGCTCTCTCATTCGCAGTGTTCAGCTCTCGCCTTGCAGAATGGTCTTCATTTCCTTCTTTTAGTTGGCCTGTACTTGCCCTGCAGAGAACGATTATTTCCTACCCAGAAAAAATGTAAAATGTTGCTATCTTTTGCACTTGTTTTGTTCAATTCATTAGTCAAAACAGAGAGAACCTAGAAAGAATTTCTAGATAGAGTCCTCAGATCCCCAGAACCTGCTAACACGACCACACCCAGCTTTCTTTCTTTTTCATTTTCCTTCTTTTTTTTCTTTTGGAATACTGCCGATTAAGCACAAGAAGCAGTTGGGCATGGTGGTATGTGCTTGTAATCCCAGCACTCTTGAAGGCTCAGGTAAAAGGATCACAAGTTCTAACCCAAACTGTGCAATTTAGCAAGAATTCATCTCAAAATTTAAAAAATGGCAAAAGGGTTATGGGTCTAGATTGGTGTGAAGTCTCTGAGTTCAATCTCTAGTACAGCACAAAAATGGGAGCAAGAGAGAAACAAAGTGCTGAGCCACATCTCCAGCTCTTTTTAATTTTATTTTAAGACAAGGTATTGCTAATTTTCTCACACTGGGCTTGAATTTATGATCCCTCTGCCTCAGCTTCCTGGGTATCTGGGATTACAGGAGTGACTGTACCTTGCTGAAATATTTGTTTTAGCCCAAATCTTCTAGAAAGTAGAGCCAGTTGCAAGGATTGGGTTTCTAATGCTTATTTGATATGTAACAACCTGCAATAGTCGAGGTGAGGAAAAAGGCAAAGTGATGCAAAGAAACATGACAGCATGTACTGTGTGGTACTGATACGGAGACCATGTTAGGGGCAGAGAACAAACTTCCAAACCTTTAACCTGGTACTTAGTAAAAGCACGATCTGGGTTCCCTTCTGAGGTAGTCAAAGACATAGAACCTGCTTTTGCTAAAAAATCAATGACTTCACCTGGGCCTACAGATGCTTAGTATGTAACTAATAAGAGAATGAATATTGACCTTGATTTTTTTATCTGTCTGCTTCATTGCCATAAAACTTTTAGTCAGATCCTCCTCGGTATGCTTTGCCTATAGTCATGTTAATCACTTAGAGAGTGTCTGTGTAAATAAAAGCTGTTAATACACAATTGATTAGTCCTAAATGTACATAACCTGTCTTGTCCACATTCAAGATTGAGGACATCAAGATAAGAGATTTACAGGGACATTCAACTCCCAATGCATGCACATTAGTCTCTACTAATTGCTCCAAACCTACATTCACTATGGATTCCAGTGGAGCCTCTGTAATATTGCAACTGCCCCAAGCAGAAACAATCATCTTATGGAGATAGATTAAATGATAGAGGCCAACTATGTTGTAAAACAAAAACTGAGATAATGAGCAACCCAACCTGAGCCCAACCCAAACCTTTAAAAGCTGTTCCCTTCCTTTTGTTGACAAGCCAGTCTGATTTTAATCAGATCTGTGACCTTTCAGCTCCTCAAGCTAAAGTCCCTTCTCATTTTCTCTTACTTTTAAAATTCTGCCTAATAAATCTGCCTATGTTTCTCACTGATGCCTCTTGAAATGTTTTTCTGTGACAAGAGTCAAGAACCTATCCAGGGGGCCAAGGATTTAGCTTAGTGGTTCTGCCGCCTGCCTCGCAAGTGAAAGGTCCCGAGGTTGATCCCCCGTATCAAAAAGAAAAAAAAGAACCTAGCCAGGAAAAGTTCATGTCCCTATTTCCTCTTTGGGGAGACTTTCTTAGAGCCCTTCCTGTGACAGCATAACACTTCACATTCCGCTACGAACCACAGAGAGACTGTCACCAGCCTGTCCCATGCAGAACGTTGAGACAATCTGCATCAGAGCAAAAGGAGGGGCATGATTACTTGTCTAGCTTCCTCTGCCACTTAATTCTCATTGTTCAAGGACCACACCACATAGGACTAACTCCCCCACTTCTGCGTCATATTGTTTGTTCTTGGGGGGGGGCATAGGAGCTAACACCCACCCATTTGAAAGTAGAGGGCAACTCAGCATGAGTGAGCTACCAGAGAGAGAAAAAGGAGAGCGTAAGAGGAGCTAAGCTACAGCAAGCCCACCAGCAATCCTGGATCTTCTCCAATCTGACTCCCTATAACTGCACTGATATAGGAGATCTGGGAGTGGCAAAGCTGGCTGGAGAAGCAGGTGTGACTTATTAATTACAAGATCCCAAAATACATGTGCAGAACAGTTCCTAAAGCCGTTCACATAGACTTCTTGCAAGAACTTGAGCAGGTTGTCAATGGGACGGCCTAGGCCCGATGTCAGCCTGAGGTGTCACCCTCAGCCTCACGCCTCAGGACCCATGTGTAGCTCTCATGGGTGTCCTCAAGTTGTGGACAGTAGAAAAGGACACGGATGCCAGGAAGAGCTTGCCATTATGGCTCTCCTCAGGAGAGCCTGCCCTATGTGCTCCAGGGTGTTCTTTTATCTTGCTTTATCCTTTGTTACTTGGCCCAAGTTCACTCTGCAGAGCCAGTTTCTTCCTCATTCTTTGCTTTTACTTTTACAAATAAACTTTATCACTGCTTTTTAAAAAAATTAACTTTATTGGTACATTTTAGGTATACATTATGATCACACTCATCATTGGGAATTTGTACCTGTAATGATATGTCTTAGTTCTTGTTTCTTCCCATTCTCCTTCCCTCCTTTCCACCCCTCCACCCCTCCCTGTTTACAAAAGCTTTGTTTCCATTTTTTCCTTCTTTTCTCAAATCTTTTCTTTCCCTTCTCCCATACCCCAGCCCAGCCAGCTTACCATTACCCTTTGAAACTTGCCTTCCTATTTCACATTATCTATTGTACATTTTGGTCCTCAACTACACTTTCAGTTTCTCACACCAGAGAGACAATTTTGTATTTACACATGTGTGTCCTATTTATTTCACTTAAGATTATGGCCTCGATATGCATCCATTTAGCTGAAAATGTCTCTAGTTTATCATCCTTTATGGCTGAGTAGTACTCCATTTTATTTTATAAAAACTACATCTTCTTTACCTAGTCACCAGTTAACGAGCATTTGGGTTGTTTCCAAGATTTAGCTATTACAAACTGTGTTGCTATAAACATTGGTGCAAATGTATCACTGTGTATGATGCTTTTAATTCTTTTGGGAAGATACCCAGCAGGGGAATAACTGGGTCAAATGGGACTTCTAATCCTACTTGTTTTGAGAAGTCTCCACACTGATTACCACAGTGGTTACACAAGTCTACATTCCCAACAACAGCTCCCCACCAGCATTTGTTATTAGTTGATTTCTTTTTTTATTTTTA